TGAGAACTGTTCCCGTGGGCTCGTGAGTTATCAGAGCCCATGGGCACAGTTCCCATTCGAACCTGCAAATCTCTACAGAACCCTGACGATGGTATGATATCTACACGTATTCCACAAGACTGCTCCTGGTTTTTTTTTCCAAGTAACAAAAATATAAGAGGCAGAGCTCGTAATTGTCAGAGGAGTTCGCCGATGTCCGCCAAAGCTGTAAATCGATAGAAACAAATATAAATTCCATTAAGCTAAAAAAAGCCTCGAAATTTCGCGTTCATGAAATGATGGCCTAAAAAGGGTTTTTAGGTTCTGGAGGTCTTTGGATCGAGACCTGGTTTCTCAGGTCTCACTCTCTGGACTATGCGGGTGTGAAGCGAGGACTCCTTTCCTCCGATGTCGAATAAATGATACCAGGCTCGTCTGGGAGGATGAAAGCACTGAATTGTACATCGGTTGACCACAACACGTCATTGCATCGGCCACATACGCATTCAAACCGGGACCACGATTATGAATGGAAGTCGAATGCGGGGCGCATCGCTAACACGGCAACAATTGGTGCCAAAGACTTCATCATTAGCTTTACTGCTGTATTTTTACTACATGTGCAATCCCTTTGCTGAAAGGATGACAGTACCAATCGGAAACGAGATCTTATCGCCTGAGAGCCACTCAAAATTGCTAGCAAACTATTAAACCGAACTAATTCAGAAAGGTTAATACCACGCCGTAGGTAATGAGCTTCGAAGTGGGAGACTTAGAACTCCGAAAGCAATACTACAGAGCCTCGCAAACTGATGGGTGATTCTGCTATGTATAGAAGTAACATCAACGAACTTCGGCCGAAAAGTAAACAGGTATTGCGAAATTGCGAGTAGAAAAGGAAGTATGACGTCGTTGGCGCCGTTGGCTTCCTACAAGTGCCGATCCCCTTGTTGTCCTTGTTCCCCATTCAGAACAAGACGAGCAATTGTAGGATTACGCCTTCATTATGTCAGGAAAGGGAGGTCAGACTCAATGGTCAAACATTCGTTCTTAATTGGAACATCGTAGGAGTGGCGAGGAGGATGAGGAGGACGGGGAGAGCAGCCCATATGTGGGCTGCACCCTGTCGGCCACGAGGAACCTTGCAGCCGACATATGGGCTACACCGTGTAATTCATTTTTTTTNTTTTTTTTTGTTTGGTTTTTTGTTTATATGATTCTCTCTCAAAATGTAAATGATAGACACAAACTTGATGAATTAACAAACGGAGTGGTTTAAAAATAATACTTCCACCAACCTTCCTATAAGAAAAATAATGATTATATATTGGTTCTTCTTCAAGTGAATTGTTATTAAATGCTGAAACATTTTGAAACTCGTATCCTATCAATTACTTAGCCTATGAAACCTATTGAAGCACTCTACAAAGGAAACACATGGCACATGGGAAACCCGTAGCTTAAATACTGTAAGGACTAAAGTTCCGCACTGAATTGTTTATATGAAACTTACCGTTAAAGAATGTTACCACAAACACTATTGGTTCTATTGTAAACAAACTATTACCGAGCGAAAATAAAGAAATAATCACATTGTAAGGGAGTGTTATTCTACGCGTTGATTCAAAGAGAAGGCCATGTTTGTGGATTTTGCCTCCATTCATTCACCAGAATTGCCAAGAATCACAATTCAAAAAACTACGTAGCACATAAATTTTACCGAAAACTTGGTAAAAACCTAATTTGCACGAGCATGACGAAGTCTATCACGTAACGTAAACAAATAAAGCACAACAATGACTTACTTGGGCGTCCACATGAATAATGATGTTCCAAAGGATTAATGCGTATAACACTAGTTGTTGGAAGAACATTTCCAAAGTTCTTTAAAATCTACCAATTGATTGACCGGGAGGTGAAGAAGTCCCGCAGTAACAGGCGGTCGAACCTGGGAAACAAATGAACTGTCGGCTTCTATTACATCATTTGGCGGCCAGACAAATCAATGACGTTAAGGTCGTAAATCAAACAGGACGCCTGAAAGAAAACAACCACAGGTTGTTTCCGATATATACTATGATTTTGTTTCGCAAAGTAACCGCACCTCACGGCTTTCATCAGAGCCTCTATGCTGTCATGGTTATTCGTGTCAAGAATCTTCATCTTGAATGAAGCTGAGAGGTCCTGACACGATTACCCGTGACTAAAGCGTGAGCGACGAGTGGTTTGGAAGCGCCCATGGCTTGGGAGTGGACCGTTGGACCACCACACAGTTGGATCGCCCGGCTAGGTAAGTTGGGACGGATCAAAATCCAAACTAATTGGAAGATATTGGTGGTCGTGAGGCTTTGAGGCAAATTGATCAATGTACTCAACATGGATTGCTTTGCCTCTATTTTTCAGATTGTTGTCAAAAAGGCGCTGCCTTTAATGAAACAGTAAGTGTGCTCTCTCGAATTCGGCCTTTAGGGATTGTTATATATGATCTATAATTGTAATACTTTCCTTTAATGATATGTTGCGAGAAGTTACTCATGGCATGTTTCAGAGTTGGGCGTTGAGCGTTGAGCAGTGAGCGTGTACTTCGTTGGTAACGCCGGTCGTTGAGAAATACTGCCGGGATGGGTGGTGGATAACTCCCGGATCGAGTTGTGTTAGTTGTGGTTCATTTTTTCAATTTCCTGTATATATGAACTTCCTATTTTTCGTTTTGAAACGAGTTGAATGCGGACTGCAAAATTTACGGTTACGCAAGAGGAAGGGAAAACTCTATTTCTCGTTATCAAAAGTTGCCACCGCTCCGATTCTTTTGATCCCTAATAGCCGAGTGCTCTACTGAATTTTCGTTCCTGTGAACGAGTCTCGTGATGCAGAGATGATTCCCAGTGGCTGCTTTCATAGTCCGCGATGCGGCCCGCGAGCAAGCGAGCCAGTGACAATACCCCCTCCAGTGTAAATGAATGAATTCGTTACTTATGAGTTACAATGTGGTGAAAATCTAATACTTGCATGAGTTGTACGACTTATGCACAAAACTAAATGTAAAGTTGAATTGAGTGTTTCTAGTACAGTTGGCATGGATGTGATACAAAGAATGATTATTCCGACAAAGATTTAATTCAAAATTAATTAGGAAAGCAACAAATCAATTCAATCTAGAAAGGAAACTTCTGCAAATTTCAGGTTCAACATTACATACATTAAATGGTGGGACCCTTACTCAAATATCCAAGAAATGAACTCGAGGAGCATGTCGTCGACGCTTTGCAGCCAGGTGACGGTGGGCTCTCAAGCGGTTCTCGAAGAAACTATCCAGGTCGTAGTCATCTGTCATATCTCTCCTCATTCGACTTTTTACATTATAAACTTTCTTACATGCTGACGCTACACGTTCTGCTTTTTCCCTTTTCTCTTTCTCAGTTATAGCAGCGACAAACTCATCAATTTTTGCTGACAACGCTTCATTGGTTGCTCCGCTATCCTTCATTTGTTTAATTGTGGCAACGTTTTGTTCCCCTATGTACTCCTTGATGTAGTGCTTGCAAGCTGCTTTCAGCTGGACGCTTGCCTTTTCTTTGTCATCTCCTTTAGCATTCTCAAACATCTCCAGCACCTTCTGTTCGACGGCGATACGGTCTCCCGTCCCATAAATTTTCCTTACCTCAGCTTTCTGATCATCTCGAAGCCAGGATAGGTACTTTTCCATAGCTTCTTCGATGTTATGTTCGTGGTGATCTCTTCTAAAGCGTCGCGCAACGCCATAGATCTTTTTGCATGCCACTGATGCTCGCTCTGCTTGTGCCTTCTTCTTCTCGTCGGTGATCGCGGCAATGAACTCGTCAACCTTGGCAGCGATGGCTTCTGGGGTGGCTCCGCTCTCCTTCATCTCCTTTAGTTTTTCAGCATTCTCTTCACCAATGGAATCTTTGACGTAGTGCTTACAAGCGGCCTTCAGTTCTGCTGTAGCTTTCTCCTTCACATCACCACTTACACCATCGTAGATTTCCATCACTTTTTTATACATGGCTTGCTTGTCTCCTGAATCGTAGAGCTTCTTTACCTCTTCCTTCTGGTCAGCGTTAAGCCAGGTGAGGTACTTTTCCAAAGCTTCTTCAAGTGTGTGTTCATGATGCTCTCTCTTCAGGCGTCGAGCCACACCGTAGATTTTCTTGCATGCCACTGATACTCGCTCTGCTTGTGCTTTCTTCTTCTCATCTGTGATGGCAGCGATGAATTCTTCGACTTTAGCAGCGATAGCTTCATGGCTAGCTCCACTTTCCTTCATCTCTTTTAATTTTGCTGCCTTCTCCTCGCCTATGGAGTCTGTGACGTAGTGCCTACAGGCTGCCTTCAGTTCTACAGTGGCTTTCTCCTTTACGTCTCCACTAGCACTGTCGAAATATTCCATTACTTTTTTGTACATGGCATGCTTGTCTCCTGAATCGTAAAGCTTTTTTACCTCTTCCTTCTGGTCGGCATTGAGCCAAGTGAGGTACTTCTCCATAGCTTCTTCAAGGTTGTGTTCGTGGTGTTCCCTCTTGAGACGTCTGGCTACACCATAGATCTTCTTACAAGCACCAGCCATTCGCTCTGCTTGTGCTTTCTTCTTCTCGTCGGTGATGGCAGCAATGAATTCTTCAACTTTGGCAGCGATGGCTTCATGACTAGCCCCACTCTCCTTCATCTCTTTCAGTTTTTCAGCTTTCTCCTCGCCTATGGAGTCTTTGACGTAGTGCCTACAGGCTGCCTTGAGTTCTGCTGTGGCTTTCTCCTTAACGTCCCCGCTAGCGCTGTCGTAATATTCCATCACTTTTTTGTACATAGCTTGCTTGTCCCCTGAATCGTGGAGCTTTTTTACCTCCTCCTTCTGGTCGGCATCGAGCCAGGTGAGGTACTTTTCCATAGCTTCTTCGAGTTTGTGTTCATGATGCTCTCTCTTCAGGCGTCGAGCCACACCGTATATCTTCTTGCATGCCACTGATGCTCGCTCTGCCTGTGCTTTCTTCTTCTCATCTGTGATGGCAGCAATAAATTCTTCAATTTTAGCAGCAATGGCTTCATGACTAGCCCCACTCTCCTTCATCTCCTTGATTTTTTCAGCCTTCTCCTCACCAATTGAGTCTTTGATGTAGTGTCTACAGGCCGCTTTCAACTCGACGGTAGCTTTCTCTTTCACATCACCGCTTACACTGTCATATATTTCCATTACTTTTTTATACATGGCATGCTTGTCTCCTGAGTCGTAAAGCTTCTTCACTTCCTCTTTTTGGTCAGCATTGAGCCAGGTGAGGTACTTTTCCATAGCTTCTTCGAGGTTGTGTTCGTGGTGTTCCCTCTTGAGCCGTCTGGCTACACCGTAGATCTTCTTGCACGCGCCTGCCATTCGCTCAGCTTGTGCTTTTTTCTTCTCATCGCTGATGGCGGCAATGAATTCCTCAACTTTGGCCGCGATGGCTTCATGACTAGCTCCACTTTCNCTACAGGCTGCCTTCAGTTCTACAGTGGCTTTCTCCTTTACGTCTCCACTAGCACTGTCGAAATATTCCATCACTTTTTTGTACATGGCTTGCTTGTCTCCTGATTCGTAAAGCTTCTTTACTTCCTCTTTTTGATCAGCATTGAGCCAAGTGAGGTATTTCTCCAGGGCTTCTTCGAGTTTATGTTCATGATGTTCTCTCTTAAGGCGCCGAGCCACACCGTAAATTTTCTTGCAGTTTGCAGATGCTCGAAGCGCTTGGGACTTTTTCTTGTCGTCGGCGATAGCTTCAATCATCTCTTCGACCTTTGTCGCAATGGCGTCATTTGAAGCCCCGCTTTCTTTCATTTCTCTGATCACCTCCCCATTCTTTTCTCCTATAAGATCCTTAATATAGTGCTTGCATGCTCCCTTCAGTTCCTTTGTCGCTTCCTCCTTTGTGTCACCCGTGGCCTCGTCGTAGTACTCCATTACTTTCTCGTACACGGCAGCTCTGCCCCCTTCTGCATAAACCGACCTGACCTTCTCCTTTTGTTCATCCGTCAACCACGACAGATATTTCTCCATTGCCTCTTCAAGTTTATGCTCATTATGATGGTCTCTTCGGAAACGATGATGTAGGCCGAAAATGCGTTTGCATGCTGCTGATGCCTTCTTAGCCCTCGTCTTCACCGTGTCGTCTGTGAGCTCTTCTATGGCTTCTTCAATTTTTTTGGCAATTTCATCAACGTGAGTCCCACTTTCTTTCATGGCACGGAATTTGGCAGCTTTTTCTTCTCCCAGTATCTCTTTGATGTAGTGCTTGCATGCGGCTTGTAGTTCCTCTGCAGCCTTTTCCTTCTTATCTCCACTTGTATGTTCAAAATATTCCATGACTTTCTTGTAAATGCCCTCCTTGTCACCGCTTTCTTTCAGTGATTTCAGCTCTGCTTTTTGATCATCGTTCAGCCACGTGAGATACTTGTGGAGAGCTTCCTCCAGTGTGATGGGATGAGGGTGATCTCGGCGGGTTCGAACGCTGCCATAGATCTTCTTACATGCTATCGTAAAACGTTTGGCTTTTGCTTTCCGTTCGGGATCGCTTATTTCTTCAACTATTTCTTCAACTTTTTGTGCAATAGCTTCATGGCTTGCTCCGCTATCTTTCATCTCCTTAATAATCGCCAGTTTGTCTTCACCAAGTAGATCCTTTCCATAGTGTTTACAAGCCGCCTTCAGCTCCTCGCCTGCCTTTGTTTTTACTTCACCGCTCGACGCTTCATACATTTCCATAATCTCCTTGTAGAAAGCTTCTCGATCACCGCTCTCATACGTTGCCTTGACCTTTTTCTTCTGATCATCTGTCAGCCAAGTTAGGAACTTCTGCATACCTTCCTCTATGTTATGTTCATGGTGATCACGCCGTCTTCTAGTACCCTGAAGAAAGATCTCATAAGACTACATCCAGCTGCCATAATAATGAACATGTCTTGGGCGGATTCCTACCTGTTGCAGTTCCCATACACCGTAGCACACGTCGCGCACGTGCTCAACAGTGTGCTTCTGTTCTTCGGTAAGCCTTTCCTCAAGTTCCATGACTTTTTTCTTCAACGTGGCGTGATCTTTCGTCTCGTGCATCTTTTTTATCTCTGCCATCTCTTCTGGTGTCGCGACTTCTTTTACCCAGGCTGAGCATTGATCCTAAAAATTCAAAAATATTAATTGGCGTTGGCCTAGTTGGCGACTTCTGAGGGAAGAATTTACCTTGAAACTTGCTTTCAATTCGGCTTTCTTCTCTTCGGGAAGGAGGCCAAAGAACTCCTTCACTTTTGCGATAACATTGTCGAAGTGAGATCCATCTTGCTCCATTCCCTACAATAATAATTTCAAGAAAACTAAGAAGTTGGGAGGAGGAGGGGAGGGGCAGGGGGGAGGGAGGAGGACGGAAGGGAGCAGCGTTTTTTAATGGGAGCTACCACCCGTTACGGGACGCCGGTAGGGGTGGTGGTCCGGTGAGCTTGGAGATCTGAGGGCTCAAGTGCCGCCAACGTCGATGGCGTCCGAAGAGTGGCCCATGATCGCGACAATCAGCTTGAGTCCTTACGTTAGCTGCTAGATTGTATTCACTTGATGCGATCTATGTTTTGTCAGTGTTTTGCTTGTTTCTCTTGGTAATCCCCATTTTCTCATTACAAGTCCTTGTCTTTGACTTCTCTCACTTCCATTTCGCTAAATATGGAAAGTGAAAGAATTCAACCAAAGTCGCCTGCAACCACGCATCAGTGTTCTGTTTTTGTTGTTTGCTTCGAATTGTCATTTCAGGCAGATTGGTCAAGAGAGTTTTGTACGAATGTACTCTTGAGAAATTTCAACAAAAGATAGACAAAAATGATATCGTTCAGTTAGTTTCAGAATGCTTATCGAACCGTTTATTAGTTTTGCAGTCATTTAATTCCGTTCGTTGTGAGCCTAATCACCTAGGTGGGAGCAAAGGCTCCTTCCATAGTCTGCCGGCCGGGGCGGCGCTTCCCCTTGTTTACAAGTGAATCTCGGTCGACAGCGCCGGCCGAGTAGTCCCCCGGCCGGTGGACTATGAAAGCAGCCAAAGAGGTTGTTATTGCTGTTATGGTTGAAGGAATCGGTCGGGGTATGAGCGATTTCAAAACAAAGGTTGCATATGGACATAACATGGCGAAAGTACATTATTATGAAAGACCTATATGCAGCCCCCCCCCCCTTCCGAAAACAAGGTGCTCTAACGAAGAGGCCGCAAGCGGCTGACGCTACACAAGTGCGAAGAGTCACCGGTTGATATTAGAACGTTAACAGGGAGCGTCGGCATTTCACGCTCGACTCTGAACTATAAAAGAAGCCTATGGCGTGTTAACACTTAGTTGTATAACTCGTAGTTTTTTGAAAACTGAGGCTGGAATATCCTACGACGTGCGTCCTATTTTTTAGATAATATAATATGAAAAGGCAATGCGAGTAGTTGTCTGAAGTTTTTTTTAGGTCATGTCCTTTGTCCTCTTGAAACTCGTAAAGATATCACATAGTAGTCTCAACTACTGAATATTGGAGGGTTTAATAAAATTATTACAAGTTCTGTGCCATTTGTCGTCACTTTGTATGTATTGATAGCGGAATAGGTAATTCTTCACCCACCTCCAGCTCGCTCTTTTGATCAGGAGTCAACCAGTGAAGGAATTTGTCAATAGCGTGCAAATGTCGGCGACGTCTGACTGTAACATGACGACGACGGTGATGGTGGCCGTGATGTTCGTGATGTTGGTGATCACCGTACCAGATTTTTTCGCAGAATGGAAGATTTTTCATCACATCCTCCTGAATCAGAAACTTCGTCAAGTTAAAATAAAAAACGATGATTGAAATAGAACTAAGTGTCATGGTAGAACCATATTTGAATGAAGAACCAGGAGCACTGACCTTCTTTTTTTCAGGAAGACGTTCGATAAACTCGCGCACTTTCTTCTTGCACCCTTCGTGNTCGGTTTCATGCATTCTGTGGAGAGCAGCAATTTCTTCTTCAGTGGCCACATCATCCATCCACTTATAGCACTCCTACATGATTTTATTAACTTCATGCTGAGCATAAAATGGAATTGTAAAACTTGTGTAAGAGCGGGTGCCTCATCAAGTATCTTTGAACATCAATCGCCTCGTCGAATACTATAGGAGGATAAAGGGTCGAAGTGCTGTTACGCGGTTGCGTCTCCCTAATTGCTGCATTTTCTCAGTTCACCGTTTTCTTTTTGAAAAGTGACCTTTACGGTATTGGCTGCTTTCATAGTCCGCCGGCTTGCGTGCCGGCGTGCCGGCGTGCCACCCGAGGCAGTGCTAGGGGGGAGGAGGGAGGCAGACGCTCAGTCGACGCGGTGGCGTCACGCCCAAGCCCCTTCGCAGGGCTGAAAACAAAGAAAAACAAGCAAAAACCAAACAACCAGGGGCTTTCGCGAGCGGTTTTTGAACTTGTTTTTCTTTGTTTACAACCCTTCGAAGGTGCTTGGGCGCGACGCAACCGCGTCGAGCGACCGTCTGCCTCCCTCCTTCCCCCCCCCCCC